AGGAGAATTGCCTGAACCCAGGAGGTGGAGGTTGCGGTGAGCCGAGATCACGCCATTGCACTCCAGCCTGGGTAACAAGAGCGAAACTCCGTCTCAAAAATAAAAAATAAATAAAAATAAAAAAATTTAAAAAAAATAAAATGAATTGGCTTAGAGTGATAACTGACCCTTAGGGTGATAGAAGACACTGAAACCTCTCCATCAGTCCAACTGAATATATCAGTTCTAACCAGTGGACCCCTAGAGTTCCAAAGGAACAGTTGGAAAACCACTACTCTAAACATACAAAAGTGACTCAAATATAAATTAAGTGTACATACTGGCATTTTGTCACTGAGGAGACCAAACAGTGGTGAAGAGATGGCATAGGACAATGCCAGACCCAGGAATACTAGTCCCACATATCCAGCTGGTAAATTAAACTGTAAAAGAAATCCCGTATTAAAGTTACATAATTAAGTCATTTTTAAATCAACATCCCTATTTTCCTTCTACCATTTCTTTAGCTCTTGTTATTACCATGAGTCTACTGATAATATTCTGCATTTTTCCTAATTTTTGTCTTACCTTTGAAAATGCATAACTTTTTCTCTATGAGGGAACAACCTAAGCAGATGTCAGAAGAGTAGATTTTTTTGCTTTGTAGCCTTTGGCATTAAACATATTTTGCTTCCATAACTCAGAGCATTTTGATATGTAAATTAATGTTTTGCAGACTTTAATGTGCATAAAAATTACCTGGAGAACTTGCTAAGAGAGGTTCTTCGATTCCAACCATAGGGTTTCTGATTCAGAAAAAAGAGGAAAATAAATTTCTAAATATTTCTTAGGTTGGGCCAGGCGCGGTGGCTCACACCTGTAATCCCAGCACTTTGAGAGACCGAGGCAGGAGGATCATGAGGTCAGACGTTCAAGACCAGCCTGAACAACATGGTGAAACCCCCATCTCTATTAAAAATACAAAAATTAGCCTGGCGTGGTGGCATATGCCTGTAAACCCAACTACTCAGGAGGCTGAGGCAGAATTGCTTGAATCCAGGAGGCAGAGGTTGCAGGGAGCTGAGATTTTACCATTACACTCCAGCCTGGGGACAGAGCAAGATTTCACCTCAAAAAAAAAAAAAAATTTCTTAGGTTGGAGTTGGTTAATGGGATGGGCCGCAGCACTTCAACCTGAAAAGGGAGTGGCAGTGGTAAGGCTCCACCAACAGCCCTGAGGGAGCAAAGTCTGTTGTAAGGCCTGGTGGGGTGGCTCACGCCTGTGATCCCAGCTCTTCGGGAGGCAGAGGCAGGTAGATCACTTCAGGTCAGGAGCCTGAGACAAGCCTGGCCAACATGATGAAACCCCGTCTTTACTAAACAGTACAAAAATTAGCCTGGTGTGGTGGTGCATGCGTATAATCCCAGCTATTCAGGAGGCTGAGGCAGGACAATAGCTTGAACCCGGGAGGCAGAGGCTGTGGTGAGCCGAGATTTTGCCACTGTACTCCAGCCTGGGTGACACAGTGAGACTGTCTCAAAAGGATAAAAAAGGTCTGGTACAGTCCATCATCAGCCAGAAGCAAGCAGGGCCTATACTACCTCCCATGTCACAGATGGGTCGTCTATAGTTATCTTTGAGGAAACCTCCTGTCTTCCTCGTCTTTTTAAAATAAATTACATTTACTTGAGAAACAACAACAAAAAAAGATTTCTTATAAGATATACATAAACAACTTAGATTTCCCAGAGATTATAGATTTTCATTGTTTAGACACAGCTTCTTAAAAGCACGGAAAAATGGCTCAAAAATACAGGTTGTTGATGATCTAAATGGACTGTGTCACCATAATCACAAACCATTTTTCTTATGAGTACCTTATGGATACTCACTGGCTAAAGGCAATATTATAATACTCTGTAAGTCTTGGACCAGACACTAAAATAACAGTCCCCAAGTTTACCTGTAAAGTACCCCAAACTGTCTTTAGTGATTTTAAGGGGTAGTATAAAATTATAACAGTGGTGGCTCACGCCTGTAATCCAATCACTTTGGAGGCCAAGGCGGGCGGATCACCTGAGGTCAGGAGTTCAAGACCAGCCTGACCAACAAGGTGAAACCCCATCTTAAAAAAAGAAAAAAAAAAGTTAAAAAAAATTATAACAAAAATTAATTTTAATCTTTACATTCTATGATAGGTAAATGTTCAGAAAGTATTTGAAATGATTAGAAACTTTATTGATCATATTAGAAACTGTATTGAAACTTAAGTTTTTGTGTTACTTTAAATCTAGTGCCTCCAATAAAGTCATTATTGGCTAAAGTTAGTCATTTTTGCGCTTTATCAAAACATATTAATTCTCCAGTGTAATTAACTACCATACCTGGTAATGGACTTTAATGTATCAGGAAAAATATTTTTCCAAAAATATCTAAGAACAAATTTCGATGACATCAAACTTTCA